AGTCATCATAGACAGAATAATCGTCAACGTTCGGAACGGACAGGCACTCTAAGAAGAAGTGTTCTGGGAAATTAAGCCAATTAGCCTCTTGTTGCTTTCTTCAGTGGAGTATCACAGCTGAATCAATCTATATGTGACTGCCACCTTTGACTATTTTAATCAAACCACTATTCATCGATAACTTTGATCCAGTAATAACCCTGCTCTCTGTCATGTGCTTTGTTGCTGGACAAATGCTGCTTTTTTAAAAGCTAATTCGGGAATGTTTAACATTTCTTTAGGATGCTTACTATAAGTAATGTTGCCACAGTACACTGCATTAGGCTTGGGAATGTTCCTGCCAAGCCTGTCTGCTATGAAATGCTAAAGAACTCATGCGAATTTCAGGCCACATAATGCATGTAATATACCTTACAATTGTAAATAAACTGTACATTAGAGTATCGAGTACTTCTAAGCTATTTACTATTGGCAGAAGCCGAAGTTTATTCTACATTCTGTAAAGTATCTTCCACAAATTGTTTGTCTTAATCTTTTTAATTTAAATGTAGCCTACAGATTTTCGTACATATCTAACAAAAATCGCTTTGTAACGACAAATCTGGGGATACTGGGGAACAGTTTGGTTTAACAATAAACATAAGGAAAACAAAAACCATGATTATAAGTAAGAGGCGCAAAGTCATTACAAAGATCCAGACAAAAAAATGAAAATATTGAGCATGTGGACAAAACGAAATACTTAGGAGTCTAAATTACGGAAGATCTGAATCCGAAATCAGAAATTGGCTAAAGAATAGAGCAATCAAGAGCAGCCTTTTTGAAGAGAAAATTTCTGAGTAACCAAAGCCTCAATCTGCAAATCCGATATCGGATGGTAAAATGTTGTATCCACTCTATTCTTCTTTATGTTGTCGAAGCCTGGACTGGAGATGTGGCTTTTTAGGATTAGGATTTAGGATTTTTAGGTTTCTTGAGATCATATTACGACCGAGATAGTGTTGCACAGAATGGGAAGAGATAGAGAACTTTTGACCACCATTAAAATGCGAAAGACAGCATATTTTGGGCACATACTTTGATAAGTACGAGTTATTGCAGTTGATTATGAAGGGTAAAATCGAAGGGAAAAGGGGTTCTGGTAGATCCCTGGAGTAGAAGAAAAGCAGAAGGTAGAGAGGAATTTGAAATTGTTATAGCCAACCTTCATTAGTGGAGACAGCACTAGAAGAGGAAGAAGAAGAACAATAGGACATATCCTATTATTTGTACTGCATTCTTGTCGATAGTTCCTGCGTTTGACAGCTTTTTATTATCTGGTCTAGTGATAGAATAAATAGTACCGTTGAGAGCGCACCTCCTTCTCTTACTCCGTTTTCAATTTTTATTATTTCTGGTTTTTCTCTTTTGGTATTTACTATTGCTTGGGAATCTCGCATTGTCGTGTCTATTATTCTTGTAATTTTATTAGGTGTATTAACGAATATTGGTCTACCAATGAATTCGCGAGTAAATCGGGTGGATGACAAATTAGAGGTATGTTTACAGATGGGATCCACTGGCTGAGACGTTCATTCATTGATTCTTATGGGAGGGCGTAAGACCACCGAAAACAGGAATATATAGAGAAATTTGTATAGGTGAAAATTAAATTTTAAAAATTGCTTGTTTTCTGGATTGCTTACCAAAAACAGAATGGATTGAATCATTCAATTAATTCATGAATCTCAATATAGATAAAACTGATTTTTTACAAATTTGTTAATAGAAACAGTAACAGTGTTAGGATTGACAATCACAACTATAAAATAAAAGTCAGACAACAAAAATAACTACTTGAATTCTAGAAACATTAGGGTTCTTTGAATGGTAAATGATTTTGAATGAGATGGAAGCCTAAACGTGCCATAAACGTGAAGTGCCTATTTGTTTGATGTCTTTTTTAAGATTAAACACACTGAAAAGAAACTATAAGACCGACTAAAATATCAGTAAACACAATGCGGGAAATACAAAAAACTGAAAACGGACGATATTAGAGTAAGCGATAATTATATTAATATCTGCTAATAAAATAAGATAATTAAATGGAAAATAGATATACAAGCGATGAAATTAATTAAATAAATTCAGATAGAATCATAACCTACAACTAGAACATAAAAGGGGACTAAGCAAAGAACCGTACACCAAAAAGAAGTGCCATGATGTCGAAAGTGCCATGTTGTAATAATTTCACTCACAGTCAATTTGATGCAGAGATAAACGAATGTTATTAATCATTTAATTGGATATTTTATTTTATTGGATTTGGTAATTTAGTATAAAGCAAAGCTTATAAGTTTTTTAAATAAAAAAATAAGTATAAATATTTAAAGATCTAAAAAAAAATTTGACTGGGGGTTTGAATTTTTTGGTGTCTTTTTAACTAAAATATGTATATTGCAAGTATATAGCGAGAAAAGAACAACAAAATGTTTTGTTATTGCGCCGTACAGCAATGTTTTAGTAACCTGTTCTTTGTTTGGTTAAACGAATATACTTATAGCCACAGTTTTAATTCCAACTAACTAGATCTAATAGACTCCTTAGTAACACAACATAGATACAGTTCAGGTAAATCGTCAGTACTATGTAACAGATGAGAAATCAGGTTTTAAAAGTCAAGGATTGGGTTCGCCCCGGTTTGATTGTTCGCTTATCAAAATGCAAATATAATGATAATTTCTTTACAAGGAGTAATTAGGTTAACATATTTAAAACACTACATAATTATTTCTCACCGTTATACCAATGTAGTTATTTTCTAAGTTTTGAAATACCGGAGATATACGTATCAAAATAATTATATGATGATGGAAGTTTATAATTTCATGTTAAATGAAACAAAAAGAAACTAGAATGAACATTATTTTAAAGAGCAGAGTTATTTAAAAGAGATAGTACGGTGGCAAATGCTAGTTTTATTAAAAGAAAAAGAAACAGGTATAACATTTACAAATTTACATTACTAAGACCGCAAGTGAAGGGAATTAGGACCTCAAGAATCGACCTACCAACGATCGAATCGGTAGAAAGATAGAAATGGAAAGATGTTGATAAAAAATTGAAGAAATTTGAAGAAGAATCCAACAAGCCATTTAAAACAAGATACCAAAGAAAATGACAAACAGCAGAGGACTTCCGGACATTCTGGACAAGCTAAGGGAAATAATAAAGAAGAGAAACAGGACCAGAGGAGCTTACCAGAGGACAAGAAGACTGGAATTCAAGACATACGGAGCCGAACTATCCGAAGAAATAAGAACAAGACTTAGAAGCATGACAGAGGACAAATGGCACAACAATATCAGAAAAGCAGAAGAAAACCACGGAAACGTATGGAGGATGCTAAAAGTCAAGAAGAGCACAAAACATAAGATGCCACCCATATTCGACAAAGAAGGAATACACTACGATACCCAACATAAAGTGGATGCAATCGCAAGAAGAATGGTAGCAACACGCAGGCAAAATCAAAACATGTCGGGCAAAGCAACCATACAAGAAGTCAACAACGCCTACGAAAGAATAAGAAGAAGAAAGGAAGTTTTAGTACAGAAAGAAATCCATCTAAATCCAACAGAAATTGCTAAAATCATCAGGAGACTACAAGTAAACGGAGCACCAATGGCAGAAGGCATCCACAACATCGTTCTCAAGGAACTGCCGAAGAAAATGATAGTGCAACTACACTACATTTTTACACCGGAAAACTACAGGCGAATATCTCTCCTAAACTCAATAGCAAAAATATGGAAAAAGATCATCTACATAAGACCAATGAAATATGCAGAGAGAAGAAAAGTCATCCAAGAAGAACAATCTGGATTTATAAAAGGAAGAAAGTGCGAACTATAGCTAGCAGAGTTATAAGCGATAAGAAGATCCGCTTTAATAGACAACAGAAAACTAGAATGGCCATACTCGACATCGAAAAGACATACGAAATCGTTTGGAAGAAAACCCTCATACACAAGATGGACAGAGCTATATTGTCACATTATTTAGTTAATATACGTGATTCGTATTTAACTAATAGAACTTTTTAAGTTTCAGCTGATTAAAAGACGTCCAGGATGCAAGATGTTCAGGAAGGAATGCCTCAGGGCAGTATCCTATCGCCTACTTTATACAACATTTTTTTTAGATCTACCAACAGATGCAAGACACAGAGATCTACAGCAGCTTATGCAGACGACACAGCAATTTACATATTAGGAAAAGAGGACAGAAGGATAGATATTAGAAAGCCAGTTGCAGAGGATCTCAGAATTCAGGGACAAATGGAAAATCACGATAAATGCGCAGATTTTGCCTTCCATATTCTACCAACATATGCAAGACACAGAGATCTACAGCAGCTTATGCAGACGACACAGCAATTTACATATTAGGAAAAGAGGACAGAAGGATAGATATTAGAAAGCCACTTGCAGAGTATCTCAGAATTCAGGGACAAATGGAAAATCACGATAAATGCGCAGATTTTGCCTTCCATATTCTCTGTCAACAAATTCAAGTTTTAGTCTATATTTTTTTACATCTTGTTTAAAGTAATCCGTCTTTTGTATAATAGACAAGCTCCCCTAAATATTATAAAAACTATCGAAAACATCTACCAAAACAACAAAATGTAAGTTAGAATAGATGGACATCTTATACAACCTATAGAAATAGGCAGTGAAATAAGACAAGGGGATTCATTAAGCCCCATGCTCTTTAATTTGATGATAGATGAAATCATCAAAGGCATTAACAAACGAAGAGGATACAGAATAGGAAACAATGAAATCAAAATACTCTGCTATGCAGACCACGCAATAAACAGAAGACTGGTCTACAGATTTAACATAAGAGCAAAAGAATTTATTATGACAATCTCATCTAAAACAATAGTAATCAGCAAAGGACTAATCAGATGAAAAATAGAAATTGGTGGCATCAGTATTAAACAAGTAATGGAAATAAAATACCTGTGAATTACACTGTCTAGCTATGGAGACCTGGACAAAGAAGTGAGAGATCAAGTACAAAAAGCAAATAGATTGGCAGAATGCCTTAATAACACTATATGGCGAAACAGACACATTAACACAAAATAGAATCAAGAAAAACCTTCCATAAAGATATTAATCCGCCAATGAACAAGCAGAATTGCTTATAAAGACGAAGAAGAAGAAGAAGATATTTTTTAGTGCAAACATTTGGTTTGTAATCAGCCTATTTGTAAATATTGTCTGATATTCGCCTATCTTTTTTCCGCTTTTTCTTTATACTTTGTAAGAATGTTTTGTAAACTCCTTCTAGCAAAGCAATGCCTCTATAGTTTTCACATCTCATTTTCTCTCCTCTTTTACGTATAGGGCATATTCTTGCTATAGCCCACTCCTGGCTTTTTTTATTTCCCATACGATTTTTATCACTTAATGTATCTCTTTATTTAGTTTTTTTGTTACTCCTGTGCTTTTATTGCTTTTCAGTCCCTTTATTTCATTTTCTATTTCTTTCTCTGTAGGTATTTCTACTACTATGTGGGCATTTTCAGTTTCATGAATTATTATTTTCTTTTCCACTTCGTTTTTGTTTAACAGTTCTGTAAAATAACTTAGCCAATTTCTCATTATTTCCGTATTATATGAAATAGTAACTTGACAAATAACTTCCCAGTTATCATACGTTTATAGATTTTATTAATAACAACAGAAATTACTTAATACACTAATATTATATGTAACAATATAATCGTTGAATTATTATGACTACACGTGTTGCACCTACTATCAAACGTTTTAAGAAACATATATGAAGCATAAAACAATAAAAAAATCACTGGTTTCAAGGTTTTCTTTACCATGGCGTTATACGTCATAAACGATTAGCCCATTAAAACAATGAAAAATTAAAAATAATAATCACTAAAAAATAATAAACCATAAAATTGGTTTCTAGTAAATTATCCAACGTATGTAAGATAATTTCGCACGAGTCTGTATGATGCAAATTAGTTATGATGGTTAATAAAATATTAAATACGAAATGCCTAGGTGTGAATTGTTGCTATGTAAAATAATTCTGTTAATCTTACGAATCAACTGATGGACGGATACTTATTTGTCCACTAGATAATTAATTTTGGTCTATAATCATTTCACCTGGTCTGCAATCATATGTACAACATTTTGTTGTATTATAACTTTTCCTCTGAGTTATACTGTAGTACCGAAAAATGTCATAAAATACTGATTATCTGTATTAGGTTATGCTAGTTAAGAGGTATATCTTTATATCTTGTATATCTTACCTAATAAGAATTCTGATGTTAGTAGTGTTAACAGGCAATACTGGAAAACATTTAAAACAATGACTATAATAGTGAATAAACAAATAAGTAAACACCGTAGGAAAAATATATGGCTTGAAGATAAATGCTGGAAAAACTAAATGCATGGCTATAAGAAAAAACGCACTTTTAAAAATACAACTGCAAGTACATAGTGCTCCAATCGATCAAGAAAAAACATTTAAATACTTGAAATGGAATGATGATAAATGACCAATGGGATCCTCAACAAGAAATAAAATGCCGTACCGAACAAGCAAGACAAGCTTTTATCAAATTTAAACCGCTACTATGTAACCGCAATCTTTCCTTCAATCTCCGCTACCGGATGGTTAAATGCTATGTATGGTTCATATTGTTATACCTACGACATGGAAACATGGACGTTAAGAGTACCTTCCATTAATAATTTTGAGGTCTTCTAAATGTGGACGTTGCGAAGAATGTTCCGTATACCATGGACAGATAAGGTGAGAAGTGAGGAAGTCTTAAGAAAGGAAAATACTGGGAGAGAATTACTCAATTTGATCAAGGTACGAAAAATTTAATACCTCGGTCATATTCTGAGAGAAAAAAATACGCAATCCCTCAACTAATCATCCAGTGAAAGATTGAAGGCAAGAGTGGACTAGGTCGCAAACAAATGCTGTGGCTACGGAACATAAAAAACTGGATAGGCATAAATAACGCTGGCTATCTTTTGCATGCCGCAAAAGACAGACGTTTGGCCTTAAGAAAATTCGCCAATGCACTATAGGTGCACGGCACTATAAAAAGAAGAATAATGGATAAAGGCTATTGAAGAAAAAGGATTTAATGGTTAGTAGAAGATAAACAGAGTATCTGAATGTTCATTTAAAAATAGGGTTACTACTTTTTTAATACCGAGATGATAACTCTGGATGGTTAAATGATTGTAATACGTAATAGTTTTAAATGTCATGTTTAGAATCAGTATTACAGAGCGATAAAAAGAAACGAAAATAAGACGAAGATACATGTAGTAGGTACAGCTAGTGAGGAATTGATGAAATGAAAGTAGACGAGTGGGGTTTGTGTGACAAAACGACTCCAATAACTGGACATAAAAACGACTAGAGGGCAAAATTTATACGGCCGCTATAAAACCAGCTATGATGAACAGCACTGAACGTTGGGCAGTTAAAAAGAAAAAAGAATAACGAACGCATGATACATAGTGAATCAAAATGCTTCAATGAATTAGTAGAACGACAAAGCACTATCAAATTAAGATTTAATTTATTAAACGAAGTCTAGGTGGGGCACTAATTGATGCCAAAATGTTGGATCTGAGACTAAGATAGTGAGTAGTGATAGTAAAATAATAATCACCCAATAGGAAAAATCACTAAGTGTTAAGCCTCTTAAGAGTAGAAGAGAATGACCAAGAGACACCTGGTGAGAAACGCTTAGACATGCATGTGAAGGGGATTATTATTGGTTAGGTACAGAGGTTAGATACGAAAGTCGGCGATGCACAGTCATAAAGGCAGAGATAGATGACCTCACTAAACACAGATTCGTAAGATGAAAAAATATGCTCTATTGGACGCAGTAATATATTTTTTGGCAGCGTTTTGTGATATCCATATATCGAGTAGGCAAAATTAGACTATCACAGTATATTTACCATTTATATAGCTTGAGATATTCTGGTTTTGGCTTACTGAACATGTAATATTAAATGAATGAATAAAATTAATAATATAACAAATAAAGAAACCAGAACAAGACCAAGAAGACCTCAGTTACATGACGAAGAAACTACAAGAAGAATAAGAAGAATATACCAAGGCTGGCCTAGACATTAACCTCAAGAAAACATAGTACATAGTACATACATACCTATCATACCGTACATGCATAGTACATACCTATCTACAAGTAAAGAAGAAATAAAATATTTACAGATTGACAACAACCTAATAATCAGAGGAAAGGAAATTCAAATACTTGTGTATTAATATCTTTATCAACGTCTATTTTGCCTTAAAATTCTTAGAAGGCACCGATTAAAGCAAAAATATCAGATGTCGCTATTTGCGTCCAGTCGAAGCCATGTTAGTTGCTTCCTAAGACAGAAGAGATTTATTTTCACGTTCAGAGCGACTATGAATTGCCGTTCTGAAGAGACCTATTAGGCCAAAATACGTATAAGCGCATACATAGACGCACTATACATAGACGCAACAACAGAGCAAAAATTAGGACAAACGAGAACAGCAATCCGACAACTTAACTAAGCATGGTGAGATATACACCTAAATATTAAGACAAACACACAGTTTCATAAGGCATTAGTGCGAAGTATTATCACATGGGGATGAAAATTGGATTATAAATAAGAAAAACAGCAGTAAGATAGTAGCAACAGAGATTGAATGCCTGCGAAGATGCTGCAGAGTAACAAGAATGGATAGGAGAAGTAATGACGAAATAAAGCAGAGGACATCAATAGAAACAGACATACTAACATATATAGAACAAAAAAGACCAAAGTTATATGAACATGTAAGAAGAACTAGCGACATCAGATAGATAAAGAGGGTAACCGAATGAGAATTCGGAGAATATCTATCTGCTATCGCTGAGAGAACAATTAGTTCTGTCATATAAGTACTACCGGAATCGTACGTTTGAATTAAACCAACGTTAGGTCACCTTTACATGAGAATTCTAGCTCCCTTTGAAAGCATTTTTGATAAGGTAATTTATTTCGAAGGGACATAAAATGAGTTTTAGAGTTTGTAATTTTCTTTTATGAAGAGCGTTTATGGACACACTGTATATTTTGCATAAAAATTACGCTTTGGCCTGTATTAATAGCTTTTATTGCTCTGCTTTAGCATATCTTGTAATCTTAGCATTTTATTTTGCGTAAATTTTGTAATTAATGTTAATGTGTTGCCTCGTATATTATATGTGTTAAAAATAGTATTTCCGGTTTTTGATTATAAGAAATAATAGGACGACGAAATGGCAACTAATTTACATATCTAAGTTGAAATTGATTACCGCTAGAAGTCAATTACCTTCAACCAAAACAAAACCGTTTTTAAACTACAAATTGGCATAAATATAAAATTTTTGCTTAAAATTGTAATCTATCACTACCATTAAATGATTCTAGAATAATTACTGGTTAATATTAATATTTTAATCGTGTTTAATGAGTAGATATATTTGATTTTTTGGCAAATATAATTTTAACTAAAACCACCACTATCAACTAAGCTTAAAAAAATTAAATATTGCTAAAAACAATTGTATGTATTGCCTAATATTTGGCAGTTGACTATACAACGCTAGATTGCCAAATTTGCTCATATAGTAAGTATACAACAGCTTAAATTTATGGTATGTACTACCTACTTATTGTACTTATTTTTCAATTCTGTCATTTTTAAGAATCATCTGTTAATAAATTCGAGATCATATAGATGCTTGAGACCAGTTATACTTTAAAAAATAGAAAATGTTATTATCATATGTAACGTTTTATTGGCAAGTGTTTTGCGAGAGATTATCTAATTGAAAAAGCTACTTTCTGCTAAAGGAAATAAAATTGTTTACCCATATAAGTGATGATGATGATTTGTTAAATGATGCTTGAATAACATTTATCAGTACTTTCCCGGTGATTACTACGAATCTAGAAATACTGATATAAATAATTCAAAATAGCCTTTGGAAGTGTAAATTTACACAAAAATATCGGTGTGTAAA